AAAAAAAAAAAAAAGAAAGAAAGAAAGAAATTTAAAAATATGTCTAAGAACTAAGAATTAAGATTTAAGTTTTCACCTGTACAAACTTTCTAGTCGTGGGCCTCTTCAGAGCAAACTAGTGTGAACGATCTGAGAATATGTCCAATTTGCAAGCCAACAAATAACTTACCAGTTTCATGGATGGTGACAAGAAGACACTCAAGGGTCTGAGACAAAGGGCAGTTTTTTTTAACTCACAGGAACAGCATAAGCCAAAACATCAAGATTTTTGCACTAGTTCTCAAAACTCCAGGTTCCTATTGGGCAAAGTGAAGAGAGCCAGTTGACATCTACCCAGGCAGTTCCTTCTCTACAGGAGAGGAACTGTAAGCTTAGGGAACCCTAATCTTTTAAAACGGGCAGTAAGCATGCCTACCTTTTTGCTCCAGGGGGAGACATTAACCTTATTATACCGGATAGTATGTATCCCTGCCTTTTGCTCTGGTGGAAGACACTATCTTACAAGGCTGCTCTTTAGAGAATATCCATGAAATAATAGAAACAAAGGGCAGTCAGTATCTCCCTGGCAAGAGTGAAGAAACGGAGACCTATGGAAAATTGTCTCCTACAAGTGGATACTGCTGGTAAATAAACGAGTCGCAGACTACAATCTATTTAAAGTATCCATTTCATACACCCCTTGACCTAGTGTAATTACTTAATTAGCATTTTATTTCAAACTAAATCAACGATTCCCTCTGTAAAGTATTAAAAATGTTTTTCCAGTTACACTGTATTTTTTAAAAGGAGGTGCTCAAACATTTGCAATAATAAAATTTAAAAGCCGGCAAGTGTTCTACCCGAAACTGTACTTACTTAAACTTACTTTAAATGTTTCAAACCTGTTAACGTTAGCAATGAGAACTACCTGTCAAAAGTCTCATTTTACAGCAAAAAACACCACAAAGAGAAGAGTTACTTCCAGCTTTGTCTATAAAATACCAGAAAACCCTGCACTCCAAATCACTTTGTACTATTTCTCTTTACCGTCTCAAAATAAAACCTTTGAAAGAGACAGACAACAAAACAACGTCTCTTGGTTCCTTTGTCCCCAGCAGAGGACAGAGGAGAGAACTGGAAACTCATTAAGGTAGAGCCCCAAACATGCAAGACAAATAAATGACATCCGATCTGCAATCATCAAAGAAAGTCACCATCACTTCATCTTCATCCCTCCCTTCCCCCTCTCCAGCTCAAATAACGTGGATATAGACGAGAGATGATCAGGATCATATGGACCTGGACAAAGCTTAGCGGAGGCAGCTGGCGGGTGGCAGTTAACTGGCTGCAGCCGGCAAAGAACCCAAGATTCCGGCTGCTGGAGACTCGGACAGAGGTCTGCAAAAGTGCGGGCGGCACGGGCCGCTCGGCTCCACAGAACGCGGAGCAGCCGCGGCGGCGGCGGCGCAACCAAGTCCACAGCGCCCGGGGAAGTTGTTGGCCGAGCGCGGCACGCCGCAGAGCGCGGGCCCTCCATGTCACCGTCGCCAGCACAGACCCTCCTGCTCGCCCCTCCCCCGCCGTGCTCCCCGGGCGGCGGCGACGTGACAGCGGGTCGCGCCGCACAAGGGCGCCCGCCCCTTCCCAGCCCCTTCCCCAGGCTTCCCCGCGGCCGCGGCCGGTTCTCACCTTGGGTGGCGAACGGCGAAGAGCCGCTGACCGGCGAGCCCGGGGCAGGAACGGGCGGCGGGGTCTCGGCCGAGCCCAGCATGGGCGCGGGCAGCATGAGGTACCGCTGGGGCGCGGGCAGGCAGCGCTGGCAGAAAGAGTGCAGGCAGGGCAGCAGCTTGGGCGCCCGGCTCTGGATGTTCTGGTGGCACACGGCGCAAGTGTCCAACAGGTTGAGCCGGGCCGCCTCGCCGCCGCGCTCCGAGTCCGGGCCCTGCCGACTCTCGGCCTCGTTCTCCCCGCTCGGCGCGGCTGAGGGCCCTCCAGAGGCCGCCGCTGAGGCCGCCGCCGCCGCTGCCGCCGCCTTCTCCACCGCCACCTCCATTGTCCTGCCCCCGCCGCCGCCGGGGAAGCGAGAGCGCGGTCTCCGCCCGCCGCCCCCGACGACCTCCTCCTCCTCCTGCGGCTGCTCCTCAGAGGCCGCTCGGTGGACCCGCGGCAGCGCCAGCGAAGGAGGGAGAGCAAGCCGGCCGGGGGAAGCCTCCTCAGGCCCCGGGGATCCGCCTCCCGAGTGGCGCGGCCGGAAGAAGGGGATCTGTCAGCGGAGACCGTTCCTCGCACCGGGGAGGCTGCACCCCGTCCGCTTCGCCAACCGCCGCGGCGCTCGTCGAATCCGCCCAGCCCGCCCTCGCCTCCCCGCCTTTCTCTTCATCCCCCGGCCCACCTCAGGCCCCGCCCCCGCCCTCCCTCTCCCAGCAACTGAGTCTTCGGCGAGGAGCGCGCCACCCAATAGCGGCCGCGCCTGGAGAGAGGGCGGGGCCTGCCAGAGCAGGCGGGAGGTTGGGAAGTGGGAGGTGCTTGCCCAGCCCCGCCCTCTCCGGGCTCCTGGAACCGCAGCCTCTGATTGGGCCTTTGTGTGTGTTTCCTCCTCAGAAAAGATTAAGGGTTCATTTGTTAACGACCAGACGCCTGATTCGGTCCGCGGTGTTAGCTCCTCCTACGGGGTGGGACCTCACTTGTCTACTCCGTGCAGTTAATTAAATAACTGCTTGGAAAACTGGTTTTAATCCTGGAGACCGAGTCTTGTAGGAGGAGTAAATATGGTGGGAGGGTCACAGGAGGAAGGAGAGGAGGTACTGAAGAGCAAACAAGGGAAGAATTTTTAAAAATACTGTGTGCAAGAGGTAGCCTAGAGGCAGCATGGATTTTGCAACCTAGTTTTACTCATCTTTAGAATGAATGACTGAGCATTAAGAATAAGGGGGGAAGTTCTCGTGCAAGTTGGAAATTTTTAAACTGTTTCCCCAATGAAAAGGTGAAATTAATTTTTAAATCCAGTGATTTGCTTTTTAGGTGAACAAAAGTGGTTCGTTTTCCCAGGAATTAATAAAGATTGGGAAATGTTTTTATTGCATAAATATAGCATCATTAAGTAAAAATAAACCTCAATACTTATGTCCAAATAATTCATAACTTCAAGATTCTTATTTTCTCCCTCACCTCTCTACACTGACATCAGAAGTTACGCATATTTTTCACTCAAAAAATGGCGCAGCTTTTAAGGAACTTGAAGAACAGAAACGGAGTGGAGAAAACAAGTTTTTGTATACAGTAACTTTAAGAAGTGCATACAAATATATTTTTTCAATACGAATGAAGTGGTACTGGACTTTAGAGGAGGAAGGGGTGGGTCATAAAAGGCTTTGCTAAAATCACAATTTTCCTGGAGACTGTAGGATGGCAATGGGGGAGGTCTAGGAAGCCTAACCTTACTTCCCTTAAACAGTCTCCGTAGGCCTCAAGTGAGAGGCTCTTTTACTTAATTACATGCCTTCAACGGCTCTTTCCCCACCCCCCACATTGATTCTGGTTTAAGCTTGGGTTTTGGGGGTTTTTTGTTTGTTTGTTTGCACGGAAGTAGCTCTTAAACTTTAGTTTGCATAAGAATCACTTGAGAAGCTTAATGAAAAGCAGGTGCTTGGGCCACCTCGGTATTCAGTTATTCAATTTTGACAGCGTCTCAAGTGATTCTGACCTAGGTGAGTCCAGAAACAGAAGTCTATCCCACATGTCTTCACCCATTCACAAATCCCTCCATGATTCGGTCGTATATGCCTCTCAAGCTGAAGTCACCGCTACTCTCATGCTTCGTGCTGCAGCAATGTTAAGGCCACTCTCTGCTTTGTACACTGTTCCCTTTGTTTTAGTTCCTTCAAAATTCAGACTTAACTGTTATCCCCTAAAAACCACCCCAAAGTTCAACCCTCCTTCCCCAGAATTAAAACCGTACTGTATATTTTTGAAACTGCACCTTGAGCCGGGCGCAGTGGCTCACGCCTGTAATCCAAGCACTTTGGAGGCCAAGGCCAGCGGATCACCTGAGGTCGGAAGTTCAAGACCAGCCTGACCAACATGGTGAAACCCCATCTTAATTTTAAAAAAATTTAAAAGAAAAAAGAAACTGCATCTTGAAAATCTTCACATGCTAGGAATGGAAATGTATACAAAATCAACTCCCTTAATTTGCTAAAAATTCATTACTTAGGTGGTATACAGGATTCAAGCCTACTAAAGGTAAGTCCCTCTTATTCCTCAGATGGTGGTGATAGAGAAGGAAAACAGAGGTAAAATTGAATACACTCATTTTGAAACAATTCCATGTAATTCGATCAAACCCACTAGGTTGAAGTTTTTCAAATCATCATGGATTTACAGAAAATTATCTTCCATCGTTTTAGCCTTCCTAATTTCACATGAGTAAAACAATTGTACCTTGTACTTTGTTCACATATATGGGACTTCAAGTCCAGAAAATGAATTTATTATTATTATCATTATTTTTATATAAAGATGGGGTTTCACCATGTTGGTCAGGCTGGTCTTGAACTCCCGAACTCAGGAGATCCGCCCGCCGTGGCCTCCAAAGCGCTTGGATTACAGGCGTGAGCCACCACGTCCGGCCTATTATTTGTTTTTTTAATCATATAATTTCTTTATTTGGATATTGTTGCCCTACAAAGTGTGTTCAAATATATTTCACAAAGATCCACACTATCAATAGATTATTCTTCCTTAATTACAGCTCTCGACCTATGTTCCTCTCTTGTCGCATAATTTTCTGTGACTCTCCGCTGCATCCAAAGCTCTCCACAATTTTATTACCATCTGATCTTCCTGCCTGATGTCTCTGCTTTCCCATATCCATCCTATCCTTCTGCCTAATTGGATGACATGCTGTTCCTTAACTGCACCACTACCACCACCTGTGAGGGAGGAGATCAAAGCCGTCTAGACTGGAATAGAAGGACATCAGCAAGGAGAATAAGAGCATTAGATGCTAGTGAGATTTCTCATCCCACCCCTCAAAAGATGCTCATGGGTGGAAATTCTAGAACTTCCAGGGAAGCTTAAGAAAATCATTTTTGAGGCTGGGTGAGGTGGCTGCTTCAGCCTTCCGAGTAGCTGGGATCACAGGCGCCCGCCACCATGCCTGGCTAATTTTTTCTATTTTTAGCAGAGATGGGGTTTTGCCATGTTGGCCAGGCTGGTCTCAAACTCCTGACCTTGTGATCTGTCTGCCTCAGCCTCCCAAAGTGCTGGGATTACAGGCATAAGCCACAGTACCCTGCCAGCTAATTTTTGTAATTTTTTTAGTAGATGTGGGTTTTTGCCATGTTGGCCAGGCTGGTCTAGAACTCCTGACCTCAGGTGATCTGTCTGCCTTGGCCTCCCAAAGTGCTGGGCATGAGCCACCGCACCCAGGCAAGGGAAAGTCTTTTTAGAATCAATGTAAATATACTCTATACATATATACCTGCAATACATCATTGAAATTATAATACAAATAATTTTAGTAAGCTTTTAACCAAAAGGTTTGGACTAAATTGTACCCACTACCCCACCCACCACCACCAAATTTATATATAGAAGCCCTAACTCCCAATGCAACTGTATTTGGGTCTTTAGGAATAAAGTTAAATGAGGTCATCAGAGTGGGGCTGTAAAAGGAAACCACTTTTTTCTATATTCACAACACTTCTGCTACCAGATGTATGGGTTTTCCACACCAAGGAATTCTCCAGTTTTCTGCAAACACCAACTAGATGTCCAAAGACTCAGTTCAGTTCTGGCATTAACTATCCAGAGTTGACATCAGAATCTACAGGCTCAAGGTTCAGTCTGAAAAGCCTGCCCCTCACTTTATTTTTTCTTTATTTTTTCTTTATTTTTAATAAGATAGGCTCTCACTGTTTCCTAGACTGGTCTTGAGCTCCTGACCTCAAGCCATCCTCCTGCTTCAGCCTTCCAAAGAATTGGGATAAGAGGCCGCTGCACCCAGCCTGCCTCCCACTTTAGATGCCAATTGCAAGTTCCTGGCCCCTAGTGCTTCCAGCCAGCTTGGTTGCAAATCGAGGGCTCTCACAACTCCTTACTCAGGTTTGTTAATTTGCTAGAACATCTCACAGAACTCAGGAATGTACTTTACTTATGTGTATTGGGTTATTATAAAGGAGGAAACTCAGGAAGAGCCACATGGAAGAGATGCACTGTGTAGGGAAAGGGACAGGGGTGGGGAGGAGGTGCAGAGAGTTTGTATGCCCTTCTGGGGGCACCACTTTCCCCCAACCTCCATGTGCTCATCAACCTGGAAGCCCTCCAAACCCCATCGTTTAGAGTTTTTATGCAGGCTTCACTACATAGTCATACTTGATTAAATTATTAGTAGTGATTAGGTCAATCTCCAGCCCCTCTCCCCTCCTCAGAGGCTGGAGGGTGGGGCTGAAAGCTCCAACCATCCCAGTCAAATGTTGGTCTGGTTTTTTTTTTGTTTTTTTTTTTTT